ATTTGTCTGATTATAAGGGCTAATGATTATATGTGTATCTCTCTGTATGTGTGTCTGTGTATCCGCATGTATGTCAGTGTGTGTCTGTGTATCTATATGTGTGTCTGTATCTGAAGAAGTGTCATTCTGTGTATCAGAATGTGTGTCATTCTGTGTGACTGTGTATTAGCATGTGTGTCCAGGGAGGTAGGGGAGGCCAGGGATATATTTTTCGCATTTTTAACACCTAACTCGGGCTGGCCTGTGAGCTGTGTCGGCCACCCGGCGCCCCTGTTGCTATGGCACCATGTGCAGCCGCACAGCTCGAACACCCCAAAGGCTGGCCCTGCTTCAAGGTTGTATTTATCCTTGAGCAGTGTGTGCTTGAATGTAAGCATGTTTTTGTATGGAGTGTGTCTGTGTAAATGTAGAAGTGTATTTGTCTGTAGTTTTGGCAGTTGTATGAAGTGGTGTGTTTTTATGTACTGTTGCCATTTGAAATCAGTAAAGTAGTGGAATACTTGTGTCTAGTGTTTGCCTTTGAATGTAGGAGTTTTTGTATGTGGTGTTGGTGTTTGAATGCAGGTATGCATTTCTGTGTAGTGTTGTTTTTTTAAATGCAGCGGTGTGCTTATAAGTAGACCATCGATATTTAGAATTGTGCAAATCAAGGTGACTGACAATACTTACAATAAAAATAATAATAAGTATGATTTTCTAACCAGAAAGTCATGTTTTCCTTTCAACAAACAAGTTCGTGTAGAACAAATCTTCATATAGCAAAAGTTATGTTTACATATATTAAGGGATAATCCTGTTTATACATCATATCTGCCATGTTCTGCCTTGCTATTACATAAAGAAAAAGTTTTATGGCAGATATTTAACTACAGCTATTTTTGTCAGGCAGTTCTTCTGTATTTTCATAAATTTAAAAGAATGATACGTTGAAGCAGAAGTAATAAACAGACTTTATATGGAAGCGATTCCATGATTCACACCAACTCTAGTTTATGTTAAAGGCACTGATTTACACATTCCAAGGAAAAGTAATCATTACTTGATTTAGGACCATGGGACAGCAATCTCTATACTGGAACAAAGATCCACATTTCTGGGAACATATTACTATTGTTTTAAAATAGTGTAATCACACAGACAACATAAATATTTTAAAATATATGCCTCTATCATCTTACATCTACACACGTAAAAATGTTATGCAGCTATTAAAGGGTCACTCTAAGCACCATAACAACTTCACATTGCCGCAAAGATAATGGTGCAGAGTATATTCAGCAGTTACTTGGGACGTATATCTAGGGATGTACACGTTGACCTAGAATTTGCGGGGGGGGGGGGACGGGGGCAGGGTTTGGACAGAGGGCCACCATAACATTTCTCTGATACTAGAAAAAGTTGCTAGGATGCAGAGTGATATACAGGCACCTAGTGCCCTGTTACTATGCCAGCCATCAAGGGGGAATAAGAAAAGAGATCATGTGGAGTTGGTACATAGCTCCCCTGTTTCACCACCAGTAGTCACCATGGACTACCAGTGTAACTCCAACCTTCAACCAACAATGATACGCTGCATGGGGAGGAGTATATTGGCTTCCTATATCCTATAGAAGTCAATTCAAAGTGCTAACCCATACATTTAAAGCACTGAACAATTCTAGCCCCTCTTATATCTCTTCACTGATCCATAGGTATGCCCCTCCTCGTTCCCTCCGATCTGCCCGTGACCACCTCCTGACCGCTGCTCGCACCCGTACGGCCAACTGGCGCTTGCAGGACCTCTCGCGGGTGGCTCCTTTCCTATGGAATAGCCTGCCTACCGCCATCAGACTCTCCCCTAGTCTTCAATCATTTAAGAAGGGCCTTAAGACCCATCTCTTCTGGAAAGCGTTCCCAGAGGTTACTCTGGGAAGCTTATGGCCTCCCAGAGTAACCTCTACCTTACATACCTGTCCAGGGCCGGATTAAGAGCACAGTGGGCCTGGTGCTGACAATTATGATGAGCCTAATTACAGAATCATAACGACCAAAAACACTAAAACAATCATACCTCCCAAGCGTCATGTATCTGATGGAGATGGTGCTGGAGGGAAACTCATAGGATGCAGTGTCCAGTGAAGCAGGAAGTCAATGGGCAGGGTAAAAGGGTGTGCCACTGGCGCGAATCACGTGACAAGACCTGCCAAAAGGGGTGAACATGCCCAAAAAGGGAACATGTTTGTCCAAAGAATTGCCCCTGATCTGCCTAGTTGACAGTCTCAGCCAATCCTATGGGGAAGTATTGTAATTTGCTCAGACCACCACTTCTGAGCCAACAGCTGCAGAATTGAATACAAGTAATATTTTACTATATTTAGGGAGGCAAGAAGGGGCCAGGGTGGTGGTTTTAACATAATAGGGTCAGAAATACATGATTGTGTTCCTGACCCTATAGTGCTCCTTTAAGCAAGAGTATGTGAAGAGTAGTTAAGGTTGCCACCTTTCTTGGAAAAAAATACCAGCCTTAATCATTTGTATAATTAATTAGTTATGCGTGACATCACATGATGTAAATCACAAGGAGTGACATCAGAGAAAATTCAGTAAAATCACCAACAAACTACTCACAGTTTGATTCTGCTGTATAGATGGATTGCTCCCAGTGTCTCCGTGTCTCAGTCTCGCAAGTCACCCAGTGTCTCAGTGTCCCTATGTATCACAGTGTCTGTGTCCCCATTTCTCCCAGTGTCCCAATGTCTCAGTGTGTCCCCATGTTACTAGGATACTGGGGACACAGAGACATGGGGACACTGAGAGACCCGGGGACATTAGGAGACATGGGGACACTGAGACATTTAGGGAAACTGTGAGAAATGGGGACACTGAGACACTAGGGACACAGACACTGTGGACACTGAAACATTTAGGGACACTAATACACTAGGGACACAGACATGGAAACACAGACACTGGAAGACTAGGGGACACTGGGAGACTAGGGGACACTGGGAGACTAGGGGACACTGGGAGACTAGGGGACACTGGCTGGAAGACAGACACTTGGGGACACTGGGAGACATGGGGACAGTTGTGGACATAGACATGTGGACACTGGGACATATAGGGACACTGGGAGACATGGGGACACCAGGCACACTGAAACACCAGGAACACAGACACTGGGAGACATGGAGACACTGAAACATTTGGGAACACTAAGACACTAGGGACACAGACACTGGGAGACTAGGGGACACTGGGAGACTAGGGGATACTGGGAGACTAGGGGACACTGGCTGGGAGACAGACACTTTGGGGAGACATGGGGACAGTTGTGGACATAGACATGGGGACACTGGGACACATGGGGACACTAGGCACACTGAGAGACATGGGACACAGACACTGGGAGACTTGGGGACACTGAGACACTAGGGACACTGGCTGGGGGACATAGTGTCTCCCAATGTCCCTATGTCTCACAGCGTCCCCATGTGTCCCTTAGTGTCTCAGTGTCCCCATGTTTTCCAGTGTCCCCAAGTGTCTCAGTGTCCCCAGGTCTCCCAGTGTCTGTGTCCCCATGTGTCCTATTGTCTCAGTGTCCCCTAGTGACAGTGTCCCCATGTGTCCCCTAGTGTCTGTGTACCCTAGTGTCTGTGTCCCCATATGTCCCAAGTGTCTCAGTGTCCCCATGTTTTCCAGTGTCCCCAAGTTTCTCAGTGTTCCCAGGTCTCCCAGTGTCTGTGTCCTAGTGTCTCAGTGTCCCCTAGTGTATGTGTCATCATGTGTCCCCTAGTGTCTGTCATCATGTGTCCCCTAGTGTCTCAGGGTCCCCATATGTCCCCTAGTGTCTCAGTGTCCCCATGTGTCCCCCTAGTGTCTCACTGTCCCCATGTCTCCCTGCTGCCTTCCCCCCCATCCCTCACTTACCTGAGCTGTAGAACTCCTGTCTGGACTCTCTGTGCTGTGTAGCTGCTCCCCCACGGATCAGTGAGTAGTAGAGATAGGCAGGGATATTCTGTAACTTCCTATCCCTGCCTCTCTCCACACACTGTGACCCCTACTGGCCGGTGCTGGTATTGCAGAGTAATTTCCAATTATTCTGAGAAAATTACCTGTATTTGTATTGCAGGTATTACTGCAATACCGGCATGGCCAGGCAGCCTCAAATACCGTCTGTGCCATTAAAATACCAGTCAGGTGGCAAACCTAAGAGTAGTGTGTAAAAAAAAAAAAATCATTATATTATTAAAATTATTATTATTATTATTTTTTTTAAATGGGCCTATTCCATGGGCCTGGGCCTGGAGCTGCAGCTCCATCAGCCCCTATGTTAATCCGGCCCTGTACCTGTCTCTCACTCTCTCCTATAGGGCAGTGCTTTACTCTCTCCTCCAGCTCTGCTTCACCCCCACCCTATTTGATTGATATTTCCTGTCCTAACGTGTCTTATACCCCACCTCCTATAGATTGTAAGCTTGTTTGAGCAGGGTCCTCTTCAACCTATTGCTCCTGTAAGTTTTCTTGTAATGGTCCTATTTATAGTTACATCCCCCCTCTCATATTATTGTAAAGCGCTACGGAATCTGTTGGCGCTATATAAATGGCAATAATAATAATAATAATAATATATGACTGTGTGCTTGTGAGTGTGTCTATGTATGTATGCATGTGATTGTGTGTATATGTGAGCATTTCTATTACAGGTATTCATATGGCTGTGTGTTATTCTATGTCTATGTATTTATGTAACTGTGTGCATGATTGTGTGTCTATGTATATATGATTTACTGCGTTGCTTGGTAAATTGGCTAGTTGTATATGTATGTATGTATGTATGTATGTATGTGTGAGAGTGGGGAGGTGGTGTATAGGCGAGATTGGTCTAAGTCAAGGGTTACCAATTAATTTTTCCTGTGGTACCCTTTGTATCAACATCGTGCCCCCCCCCAAGAAAACAATAAATAAAATTGTACCATTTTTGTATGTGCCGGTGTGTGTCTGTGTGTCAAGGTGTTTGTATCTGTGTTTGTATGTGCCAGTGTGTGTATCTGTGTGTCAATGTGTATCTGTGTGTGTGTGTGTGTTTGTATGTATCTAACACACAGATACACATATACACTGGCACATAGTGGCACACAGATACACACACTGACACACAGATACACACACCATGACACATAGTGTGTATCTGTGTGTGTGTATGTATGTATCTATCTATCTATCTGTGTGTCAAAGTGTGTGTATCTGTGTGTCAAAGTGTGTGAATCTGTGTTTGTATGTGTCTGTGTATCAAGGTGTGTGTATCTGTGTTTGTATGTGCCAGTGTGTGTATCTGTGTGTCAGTGTGTATCTCTGTGTGTATATGTATGTGACACACAGATACACACACTGGTACATAGTGGCACACAGATACACACACTGACACAGATACACACACCTTGACACACAGTGTGTATCTGTGTGTGTGTATGTATCTGTGTGTCAAGGTGTGTGTATCTATGTGTCAAAGTGTGTGTACCTGTGTTTTTATGTGCCGGTGTGTGTTTCAAGGTGTGTAAATCTGTGTTTGTATGTGCCAGTGTGTGAATCTCTGTGTCAGTGTGTATCTGTGTGTGTGTGTATATATATCTGACACACCGATACACACACACACTGGCACATAGTGGCACACAGATACACATTGACACACAGACACACACACACCATTATACACAGATACACACACACTCACATACACACAGTGACATATACACACACTTGCACCCACAGATACACACACTGGCACATACACACACGCAGATACACACATTGACACATACACACAGTGTAATGTACACACACTGACACACTCAGATACACACACACTGACACACACACACACATGCACAAACAAATACACTGATATACACTGGCACATACACACACATACTGACATACATACACACACACACACACACACACTCAGATACACACAGTGACACATACATAAACCTTGACACACATACACTCTTACTGACAAACACATACTCTTTGACAGACACACATACACTCTCACTGACAAACACACATACTCTTTGACAGACAAACACTCTCAATGACAAACACACATACTCTTTTACAGATACAAATATACACAAACACATATACACTCTCACTGACAAGAACACATACATTCTCACTGAAAAACACATACAAACTCACTGAGAAACACACATATACTCTTTGACAGACACACAAACACATACAAACTCCCTAATAGACACACATTCAATTATTTGAGTGTGCGGTCCCTGGGGTCCAGTGGGGTTGCTGAGTGGCAGGCTTGCGGTCCCTGGGGTCCAGTGGGGCTGCTGAGTGGCTGGCGTGCAGTCCCTCGGGTCCAGTGGGGCTGCTGAGCAGCTGGCGTGCGGACTGTGAGGGAGCAGTGATCTCCCTGCTCAACACCCACATGCCTCGTAGTGATGCCGGAGCCGCAGTGACATCATATTCCGGCTCCAGCATAACTGCTGTGTGCGTGAGGGAGCTGAGCAGGGAGAGCACTACCCACTTCTCCCTTGCTGCCCGCGGCCATTTTATTTTTAGAAATTTTGTCAGAACCCCAATTGTGTTCTCGCAGAATCCCAGGGTTCCGCGGAACATCAATTGGGAAAGGCTGGTCTACGTTATACAAAACCCTAAATACACTACTGTTTAAAACAGCTTCTGGTGTTAGTTTTATGCAAGTTTTGTGGGCAGCATCTCACCACATAGATAAGAATAAGAAGCTCCTGGTGAGGGAATGGATTGCTTTCTACAGATAATGTATAATTGCTGTTTAAGTATAGAAGTATTCGAATCTTATAGGTAAATATTTTTCTTTCTTTTTTCAAATGCATTTGCTTCTACCACTACGTATTATAGAATTCTTTTAGGTATTATTCTTGTAAATGACATGCATTGGCGCTATGGGGAATAACGCGGTCTGTGGCGCTTTTGGAATTTCATTATAATCTACAGATGGTTCTTGACTCCCTCCAGGCTCTTTAAGCAACATTTATCTAGAGGAAGTGCGGGCAGGTAGGTACACTATTCCACATCTTTTGTTCCTATCGTAAGCTGAACACCTACTGGAACAACATTCATACACTAGTACACACCATTACAGATCAGGTTCATACTATTACACCAGAATTGCGCCTCCTTAAGAAACTCCCAGACAAATTATCCAATTCTAATGGAATTATTTTGACTCATCTCTTGGTTTCGGCAACTTCCGTTCTATCTCGGTATTGGAAGTCTGATACCATTCCATCTATGACTGAGGTATTGTGCAATGTTTTTGAAGCCAAGAGGTGTGAGTTGGCCTTTAGGATACCTTCTGCTGCTGTGGACTTACTGAAACATGTATGGACACTCTGGGAAGAGGGCATCAGGGGCCGTTATTTCCTATACATTTTTCATTAGACCTGCACCAGACCGGATGGTAAAATATTATTTTGATTTTATTCTTTAATAATTATACCAACATTTTAAGACACATATGACATTTTAATTTTACCACTGTTATATGTATATTACTATTATAGTACTGCTTTAATATACACTTAAAATATATTATTGGATTATAGTTATTTATTATATTCCCCCATTCTTTTGGTTATAATTATTTTCTCTTCTGTATTGTTATTGAAAAATGTATTAATAAAAACTATTTGAAACAAAATGGGTTTGAGAGGCTATTGGTCTAGGTCACAGAGATGCCAAACAGGGTATGGATTGCAAAGAGTGAGTGGAGAGTTTGGAGTGTGCATGAATGAAGAAGGGACAGGCAATAAATGGAGAGAATCATCATGTTTGGTTTTTAAATTATTTATTTAAGAGACGCGAGGATTATACAGACTGTAGAGAATGCCAATTAATTCATACATGCACAATAAACAAAAATAAAAAAAACATTTGATGTTAAAGGACTCAGCAGGGTGAGGAAGGAAGCAGGAAAAGAGACCACTGCAATCAGACCACATCTGTAAAACACTTTAGCACAAGACTAAGAGATGTAATCACGCCCAGGATTCCATGTTATTAAGTGAGGCAGGGTATTATAAACAATTGCTGTCAGTTGATTTATTAAATGGCTAGCTGTAACTCCCTTCATATAAATGTGTCTTATCTCCATCCATGTTTCTTAAGCCTCGAATCACAAACCCAGCCCCACAAGCAAAAATTCTGACTCTTTAACTTCTCTACCACCAGCCCATTTATCATCATACCCATCCAGGTTCTTTCTAAATGTCTAGAATACTCCTCTTGCTGCTTGAGATCTCACTAGCCAAATACTCCCTTTATTCATTCATTAACCATAACTGCTACTTCCCTTAAAAATTTTTTGGCCATTGTTTCCAAATTCCCCCTGTTACCTCTGTCTCAAATCCCCATGATATATTTTAGATTGTAAGCTCACGAGCCATCTAACTAAGCACTTTGTATAAAAGAGCTTCAGTGGTTAGATCTTAACTCAAGGGAAGGACCCTGTTTATGTTTTGTATTTGTCAGGATTAAGAATCAAATTTTATATATTTAAGCCAAATAGCCCAGTTGGGATTTTATTCTCACCCCCCCCTAAAAAACACAATTTTGGCTAAATATGGTTTACATTTTCCACAACTCACTGTTTAGTGAATGAACTCTCTGGTAGTTAAATAATAATGCATCCTTTAATAGTTCTCAAAAACCAAGATTGCTCATCCAACGGATTATTCTATCAGAGATTTACATTCTTTTTTCAGCTAAAAATTTATTAGAGGTTTTACAAATATTGGCTCTGCATCAAATGCAAAAATAACATATACATGTGAACTGTAATGTTGGGTTCGGATAATAGCTTAACTTCAGACACTTAAATCATAGAATAAAGTGAACATTACCAGGCCAATGATAATTAGGAAGAAAAAAATATATACATTTTTCAGAATCCTAACTTATGTTAATCCTAACATCAAGATATAAAAATATATGAGGGATGAATAAAAAAGGAAAAGGCACAGTCTTGTAATTTAAAATCTGTAAAGGAAGGGAGGATATATTCTAGAATCCATGAGATTTGGCCTCCAGCACCACTCCACACAAGATAGCCAACCAAACATTTCAAGAGCATGCTGAGTCATATTTTGTGGCCAGGAGTTCCAGACTTTATTAAATGATAATTCAGAGTTTTGGACAGAAGTGTAACTATAACGGTTTTATAAGGATGGGCCCCATTATGGCCTGGGCTCCCCCTTGACAAGTGGAACCCCAGGGTCCAATTATAATAGCAACCTGAAATTGCAACCCTGGTAGTTCAGTCAGGTTGTGGATCGAAGCAGTAAGCAAGGTGTAATTTTTTTCTTTTACACTGTGAGTGGTCCAATTTCTGCTTTAACAATACAGTAATGTGTGGTGGCTCACGAAAAAATACCACTCTGTTACAATGGGCTGTCAGTACATTTTATCTATTCACATTTATTGTAGTTTAAAAACACATTACTGTGAATATTATTGCTGTGAACTTCAACACTCTAAGAATGCTGAGCCCCTACAAAAGAGGAACATTAGGACAGAGAAGAGGGACATTGTGATACGCTATATCCTTCCTACATAGGGATACTTGGGGATATGTGATTCAGTTCATACACAGAATGTGTTCAAGCTGTAAAGAAGCTAAAATCAGAGGAGGGGACATGCATTGAGTTAAATTCTTCTTTAATGATGATTAAACACATTTACGTAGGTACCAAGGAGAAGGATGAAGCAGCCAGTAGTAGCTAGCAGCTGAAATAGTGAATGCCCAATTAGCTCCTAACATTTTAAATGCCCAAGGCTTTTATTTTAATAAAGTTGGTTTTAATTATATAAAAAAGTTGGTTTCTTTGCACTAGTGAGAGCTTGATATAGTTGACACACTTGCACCAAGAAGACATGATTATAATTATTTTATGGGTATACATGAAACGATTCACTCAGAGCTAATGTGTTTCTAATAAATGGAAAATTACTTGAAGAAATATTTTAAAAAGAAAACACTATGTTGCTATTTTTTCCTTTTATAGGTTTACAATTAATCGATTATTTGGATATTTATCTAAACACCTAGGGCTGGATTCTTGGCTGTAATCTGCTTAGTGAATTGCAATTTTTCCATATAATTTAATGGACGAATTACTATTTATTAAACTGAATAATCCCTTAGTCTCCTAAAAGAATTCAGCACACAATGTCTTATTGAAAATACAAATGTAGTATTATATAAATTGAAATAAATGGTCAACCAAATTCACATAAATAATAATAATAAGGAACATAGCCTTATCTTCAGTGGCCAGGGAGTAGTGAGCTGAATGTAACTGGTAGAGGCAGGGTTAAAATGCAGAATATTGCTGAATACTGTCATTGTGGAAGCTGCTTTTGTCTCTGGTGAAGTTTT